TTGCTTACCCTTAGGGTAACCCTTGCACATAAAACGTACCACATTGATATTAAAAACACTGGCTTTCGGCATTTGCTTGCCAAAGGTAAAGATTTAGATTCAGGTTTAGGTATCAGCATCCTAATTTAGAGCACATAAAACCACATTTATAGCAAAATACCGCTTGGTTAAGGTAATATCTCAGTCATCTGGAGCTCTCTCGCAGGGCAGAAATTCACATTGAGTAGCCCCTCAGCTGGGGCCTAAAGGCAACTGTCACTAAGGTTGATTGGTGGAGAATGCAGGAACGACAGAGTTCACTCAACTGATTAAACCCTGACAAAAATAACTTCATTCAGTCATATTCATCAAGCACTGACATGCATCTGTTAAGTAATCGCATGGGAGGAAGAATGGAGGGGGTGGGTGTGAACAACATTCACAATTTGGAATTTACGAGCTGCACTTTTATTTTAATTAATGGGATTGCTATTGTTTATATAGATTGATAGGAATGCCTAAACATTTTTATAGTCAAATGGCACAGGCAGCTTTTATGATTCCCGTATTAGGGGATATGTCACGTCACGTTGAAAGAGTTTTTCCTTGCTGTATTCAACTTATAAGAGCATTACACCAAAGCGAATGGGGCTTCCTTTAATCTGTTTAATATGTACAACAAGATGAGTCACAGGACTGCAGTCCGTTCTCCATCTGTACGGACGGAGGAGGGGAAATGTCGGCTGGGCAGAGAGAATGTAGAGCGTTAGTGGATTGAATGAGGGACTTTGGTCAGCTTTGGGAATTGAGTGGCCAAACACAACGATAGACTCATCCCGCTGTTCCTCTTCTCTTTGCTCTCCGTTTTTTTTCTCCTTATCAGTGTTGATGCTCTCAATCTGTCACAGTGATTGCCTGACGGCATTTTAATTTGCCTAAATAGAGGCGTAATGCGCCTTGTAGAATTGAATTTAGTTTCTAAACCAGATTACCACGGAAACAGGATGCACATGTGTATCTGTGCACGTGGGCCTGTGTGTGTTAGAGTATACAGTATGTGCTGGCCAAGAGCCATAATCCCAGGAGTGTGAGGGAAAACCCAAAATCTAATCTTTCAAAGACTGCCCATGGATGCTAGTCATGAGAAAGCCAAGCACACAGTCAATCAAAATCTGAAAGCAGGCAATCTGCACACACTCAAACACCGACTCATTGCAAACCAGGATTGAAGAGATTTAAGTGGTTGGGAAAAGATGAAAACATTTTAACTCGATTAATTGCATGATTTCCTGTGATTTAACACCAATTTTGCTTGCCAGCAACAACCTTCTTTCAGCGTCCGAAGACTCCACCTCCAACCTGAAGAAGCATCTTAAAGTAAGTTTATTTTTTAATTAGCCAAGGGTAGTCACCTGCTGTAGTTTTAGTTGCATGTAGCTCCAGTTGTTATAGCAAACTCATACAAAATGCAATTCGATGTGGAAGTAATCCAAGTATTCTAGTACTACTAACTCTAGTTAATGTATCGGAATACGTTAAGGATTACAGTTTTGGAAGTACCAAAAAGTACCCTTCCCCAACACTGTATATATATATATATATATATATATATATATATATATATATATAAAACAACCATTTTCTGGGTTCTGCTGAATTTCACCAAAATGTTAAAATAAAATCCAGAAGGGAGGAATTTTCATCCAGATTTTATTCCACATGAACACCTTATAGTTCTTTCCATCTTGTAATGATGACACGCGGTGAGTAAAACGCTAAATGTAATAATTTGAAGGAATGGGAAGAGGTAGCATTACAGTCGGTACATTTATAACCCATTAAGTAGTATTATTGATTTATTTTAATCAATTTTCTACTACTGCAATAAACTGACAATGAACTCATAGAATAAAAGCCCAAAAAGAATAATCCCTCCTATAGTTAATTAGCACGCTCTGCCACACATGACGGGTATCTCTTGTCTCCCACTGACACCCACACACACAAACCCTCCTCTTCCATCATCTAAACTCTACCACATGTCATTGACATTTTTCCCTGGCGGGCGAGCTTTGCAGGCGCGTTCAGACAGACAGGCGGACTGGCAGGTAGGGTTATTAAATATGTATTGCAGAGCGCTGATAGGACACCAGGGGCCATTAGCCATTATGAATATATGATCTAGCCCTGCTACATTTTTCAGCCTCCTGGACGAATGAAACCCAAGCCGTCTGATTAGCATCCCAGTGCTAAAATGAATCTCAATTAGACAAAGTGTCAGCAGTCATTCGGCGAGGTGGAGATTGTGATGGAGTAGACCAATGTATAAAGCCGCAAATAAATAAATAAGCACAGTTCCAGAGGATGGGTTAGGGGGGGGTGGTAAGAGGGGGGGGTGCTGGTTTGCTGGCAGATTGCGTATGAGTAGACCTTAAAACTTTAATCACTTCTGGACTATTTAGTAGCAAAACAAGGCCAGTCTGCCTCTTTCTCCAATACACTCTATTTTGCACTATCCCCAAGTTATTTTCTTCCCTGTTGGCACAACCATCCACATGTTCTTTTATCTCGTTACCAGTAGCAAATCCTTTGTTCCTTCTTTTTATAAACAGTCATTGTCAATTCCCCACACCGCCGTCATCAATCTTTCCCATCCCTTTACTTAAGTATCGCCTCCACCCCCTCTTCACCAAACATCATGCCATCCCTCTTTCTTTTCCTCCCAGTCACATTTCTTATATTGTCTGGAAGATTATTGCCATCTTCACCTTGCGTCTTAAATCTTTCTTCCATTTTATATCCTTTCCTCCACTTTGTTCAAATCTCCTTGGTCTCTCCTCTACATGACTCCATCTCAATCATCTTTACATCTGAAGTGTTTTCTTCCTAATGGTTCCGCCGTTGAGCAATTTTAAAAAAAGTCTCCAAATGGCTAACGACATACGAAAGCCCTTTAGGATACAACTAGAGCAAAAAGTAATTATCCAATTTTTTTTTTCAAAATGTTCACATATTGACTGATAATTCAGAATATTTGGTTTGCCAAAATTGATGCGTAGCATTTTGACAAGAAACCCTACGTGTCTTTGCCTGGTTCCTCTTTAATATGTTGTTGCTTTTCTACCTGGCATCCCCATTGCTTCCTCTCCTGTTACTTCCATTGCTTTCTTTCCTCCCCCTTCTTCTCCCGGGAACATATAGTGCGACTGTATTCCGACAGCGAGCCAGAGACCGAGGCTGTCGTGGTCGCCCCCGAGGAATCAATCATCTGAACTAGGATCAATAACAAATGGCCCTGTTCAGGTCCGGCCACTGACTTGGCTGGCAGCGGCTGACTGATGAGAAGACCCACTGCTACTTTGGGAAAAAACAAAGCAGTGCAAATACGCAATTAGCATGCAGCACTGCACAAAATGCACCAACTCATGCCAGGATGAAGTGTCATTAGTTTCTGTGGGACATATCAATACAAATATGTTGGCTCCAGGTGTGCATGAATGCATTCTTTTACATGACCTGGAATGTCCACGAGGTCACAGAATCTGTCCGGCCCAACTCAGCATGTAGCCATTCCCAGTCCCACTTTTTAATGAACTTTGGTCTACCAATCACTCACAGCCTACTTCCCATTCTTTAGTCCCTGCTGCTTAGTCCGGATTATTCCCACTGTCAACTCTGTAATATACACCAGCAAAACATTAGCCCACTCCATCCATCACCATGAGGTCCTCTGTAGGGGAAACCTCCACTTATCAACCCGCAACAAGCTAATTAGACAGACAGGGCCGAACAGAGAGAGTGGGTGGAGTCAGATTGGCGGTGAGTGTCTTATCATGTATGTGCACTAGATTGGAAGGTAAAACACAGACCAAAACATGTGTCCCTGACAATTGTGCCAAGTCTAAAAAGTGGCTCATGAATGCCAGTGACTCTGCAGCACTCTGAAAACACACCCTGGCTTTTGTATATGCCGGAGAAACGAACCCATATTACGTCATCTCTTTAGCAGAAGAACCTTCTGTGATATTAAGATGGATGACATTCGTCTTCCTCTGTATTCACCACTAACGCCTACTGCGGCATATTCACTCGCCGCTTGCAGGAGGGTTCACGGATGTTTTCAGTCTGGGCGGATCGGGAATGTCAACACCTCAAGGACAAGAGAAAATAGATGACTACACATATGTGTTTAGGTATAATGCACTTTTGCCTCATGACTGTTGAATCTTATCAAGAGTGACCTCAATTGACATCTAGCGATGATGTTAATTGGGGGCCTCTTGTGCTGATTGTGATAAAGGTGCTATACGACTGGGGTCCATTGCACTGATTGTAATGTCAGTGCAGGTGAAGATAGCAGCACAGACATGGTTTGTTGCAGTAACATCTAAAGTCCATATTGCTTTCTTTATCCTAATAGAAAATACCTCATAAGGAAAATTTGTTTTGTCTCTTATTTGACTGTTACAGCAGCAGAATACAGTGATGATAGGTACATCCTTTTTTAAAACCCAACCACAAGAGGATAAATCATGCAAATATTCACAATTGCATTTTTTTGGTGGCAGAAATCATTTCAATACAACTGTAAACAACTTGAATGCGTGTATTAGTAAAGCAAATACAGCATGCCTGCAGAAACACTAATATGACCTTTCAGCATTTGGCTGATGCTTTCATCCAGAGTACTTCACAGGATTACCCTACAGGGAATGGATATACCCTCGCAGATTGTACCGCACTTCTATGCACTGTGCTGTATCGAGATTAAACCTTTGAAGCAAAAGACACCATAATGGTCATAAAGTACAGTGGGATTATTCACTGACCTTTTAATGTGATCTCAACCTTTAAGTAAGAAGCAACTAATGCCCCATAGGATTCCACCCGGGACCCGGGATGAGCTGCCGTGTGTTCGGTACTGTGAGCATCTGTGAACATTGCTCTCCACACAACCGTGCGGTCCACTGTTTGTCAGCAGCTCATTTGCCGAGAGCTATAACTTGCAGAAAATGACACACCTTGTCTCTGGAAGAGCAGGCTGCTGACGATTTCAGTCATGGAGGCCACCTTCTGTTTCTGGAGTTTCTCCGGGGGGATGCAGGAATAAAAGTCACGCAGCTGCTCACTGCGGAGAGGAAGCAATAGGCAGGTCGTGATCAGCAAGATCATCATACGGAAGGAGCAACCGGATTGCTCCTTCAGAAAAGAGCATAAGTTATGGCACGTTTCAATCTGATTATCAACGTCTCTCCTGTAAGGCGATAAAATATGTAACCACTAACAGCATCTCACAAGCATAGATGTGAGCAAATATCTGTTTGCAGCAGGAAAACGAATGAGCCAAAACCTAAACACGCTTTAATGAAGACACAGGTTTGAGTCATCCTCCGCCCCCAAATGCAATTTCAGAATAATTAAACAGTCTGGTTGCAAGCCCCGATGTCACTTAGGAAGATTGAATGCTTAGAGCTTGGGAAACCCTCCATCTCAATATTTTGTTTCTGACTGACATCTCCATTGCTTTAAATTATGCCGCAGAGGTTGCAGAAGCACTTTCAATAACCGCATCAAAGAATGGAATGCACCACCTCCGTTCCCAAACACAACAAGGGTTTGCATGACTTAGGATGTGTATGGACTGACGCGCTGGGGCACAGAGGCTAAGCGCAGACTTATCAGGGCCACTAATCATCGGGGCTGAATTTAATTAAAAGCCCAAATGTCATTCTACTACCCACACGGGCCCTGTTCAGACCCGACATTAAGATGCATCCTGGGCCATCCAATCACAAGTGGACAGCTCTGAGCACAGGTGTGAACGCGCCGATGAGATTGAGTTTCATTGTATGCTATCTTTAGCATATTTTCCATCAGGGATCTATACTGTTGGTGAAACCTTTTTTTGACTATTTTTGTAAACCAAGTCTTGCGGCTATGAAGAGAGCACGGATAAGCTTTGCTTAAAGTCCAGCTCGCCTTCATCTTACGGCATGATAGATGTCTTGTTTCTCAAGTGCCATCCACTGACTATGCATAAGTACCTTAAGACAACCCCACTTCAAACCCCCTGTGCGATCCCTTTAAGGCCACGTCTGAACAGGACAAAAGACACACAAAGGACACCTTGGGCACGCAGAACAAGGCATGGGTGACTGTTGAGAGTTTACCATGTCCAAGAATGAGCTGAGAGAATGTATTGTAATGCACGCGGCTTGCCATTGGAAACTTCGCCTTAGGCATTTCGGATCGGGAATGCAATGGAGACGTTACTTTCAAGTTCAGATGGCTCCGCTATATCTTCGCGAACGTGAAAGTGAAGAAAATGAATGACAGAAAGTGTGAATACGTGGACCGGTTTTGAAAGGCGCCGTCCCTCTTCCCCCCCTCTCAGGTAGTGTTAAAGGCAGCGCCTTTGTGACACCGCGTTGACATCGAGCCACTCCGGGGAGACTCAGCTGGCAGATGTGGATGATACAAACTCAGAAAGGCAGACACAGGTCAAAGGAAGGTCAAGAGAGAAATCACGAGGAAGAGCGTGTCTGAAGTAGAACGTGGCCAGTCGAGAGGGCATCAATTAAAGTCTTCATTCCGTAAAGCACGGAAGGCCAAACCAAAACAAGATCCATGTCGGACTGTGAGATTGCTACAGGACGAATCAACCGTCGGCAATTTCTACTCTCAAAACTGTTGAAGTGAAGACATTTCCAGGGCTACGAAGCGTAATGTACATTTGATGCAGGGTCAAAGAGAGGTTGAACCAGCCATTCTGTGTCTGTCATATTGCTCCACGGGAGGCTCAGAATAAACCCGAGAGAAGGTTTCAATGATATTCTCAATTTCCTCGCGGGGGCATGTGAGAGGAGGCGCACGCTGCGTTTGAGTGTTTGTCCTTTTTGTCATATGTCAGTTTGATGAGATTGTTATCAACTGATAAAGAAAGTAGGGCTCAGCCAGAAGGGAATGTGTGTGTGTGTGTGGGGGGGGGAGAAGGATGGGGGTCACTGAACAAAGCCAAGAGGAAAAGCTTCCGCTGAGCTGAACACTCCAATATATCCTCTCTACACGTGTCCCTGAAAGAGACCAAAGATAAGCTGCTAGTGTGTGTGTGTGTGTGTGTGTGTGTGTGTGTGTGTGTGTGTGTGTGTGTGTGTGTGTGTGTGTGTGTGTGTGTGTGTGTGTTTTCTATGGCAAGCTTACCTGAGGAGTTTGGCATCAAACACTTTCTCAACATCATGCAGGACTGTTGGGAGGTACTTCAGAGCAGCAACCTGATGACACACACACAAGTAGTAAACACTGTTAAAAAGCTGTCTTGAAACCCTGTGTAAGGCGGCTTTGCCATCAAATAGCCTCTGATCACAAGTGTAAGAAAAAGCTTGAGTCAGCTTGAGAGTTTTTTTAATGTGATTATTATATAATTATCATTATTCGAGAAGTTTGAGCACGAAGATGAGAGTCAGACGGCTAAATGTTTCTAGAGGTACGAGCAGGAACTGGGACGAGAATAGAAGAAAGAGCAGTGCGAGGTGGTGAAGTGTGGTGTGAAGGGTGAACGTGCATGATTACCCTGAGCAGCAGAGTGGTGGTGTAGTCGGTTTTCATCATGCTGTTGATGGACTCAAAAAGATTTCTCAGTGACTCCTCAAACTCTGCCTGCTCCTTCCCCTCGTACAGCCTATGAGGGAGAGAGGGAATTAATGGATGCCTTAGGAAAAATGTAACAAAAAAACATCGAAAGAAAGACAAGCCATCAGACGGACGTCAGCAAAACATTACGTGACATGATTTGTGAGGGAGGTGAAGGGAAGGATGTAACAACAAATTGAAAAGGGAGAACGACAACAGGAGGATGAATAATTAGTGAGGGTGGAGAGAGACAATACTAGAAAACGGTCAAACCAGGTTGGATGCAAAATATAAACAGAAAGAGCCTTAATTGTATGCTTCAGAGTAACAGAAATACAGACTGATTATTAGGGTACTGCAAAAGGTCATTGTAAAAAATGGAACATGCAATGTGTTCGTTGACACATATGGCTTGACAATTCATCCATGGTTCAGTTCAGTTCACAGCATCTCCTGCACTTCCTCTTCCTATGTATCTGTCGCCTCTGTCACTTGAGCCCATCACTGTGATGACAAACAGCACCTGAGCTCCCGCTGGTTTTTTATGGAAAATGCTTCTTGTACAATTAAGTTCCCAAAGTGCCACGCTGCAGAAATAATTTGTAGTGCCACCACACACACACACACACACACACACACACACACACACACACACTCGTAGGCCTATAGTCTATTAAACAGAAGCAGGAACCATGTGGCCAAGTTTAATCTATAACTGCAGTGGTTATAACAATCCTCTTCTGACGTAACAAAAAAACTGGGTTATCTTTGTTGCTGACATTCACATCACACACACACACACACACACACACACACACACACACACACACACACACACACACACACACACACACACACACACACACAGTTCCACCATGCCTCCGGTCAAACTTCGTCCGCCCCCGTCTCCTCACTATCTCTGTGCGGTTTGACGGAGTTGTGCAGTTGGTAATTACAAAAGAAGTTATGAGTTCTGGAGGGAAGGATTAGCATGTGGCACGCAGCAAATATAGCGGGGGAGGGATTAGTCGGTAACACACACATGTATTATCACTGGGCTCTTTGCTGAGTACAGTTATGATGACTCAATGACTCATTGTCCTGCTTAATCCACCACGTCTGTCTGTGCATGAATGTTTGTGTGTGCATGTGTACGTGTGTGTGAAAATATCATCACTTTCTATATATATATAAAGCAAACTAATACTGGAGACAGAAGAGAGGGATGAAGGGCAGGAAATGAACAGGAGAGGGCGGTGAGTGGAGGGGGGCTCTAGTTATGATTTATAAAAGCTGGTCCCCTCTGGACCAATCAGTCAAGATGTGAAATGCAGATCATTTTCCCATCCGACAAGCGCATAAACGGTCCAGTGACCAACTTTGCTGTGATGCATATTTTAATATATTATAAAAATGATGCTGCTCCTCTAAAGCTGATCGGCTAAGCTTTTTAAAGTGGGTTAGACACACTGAATTACCTAGAGTATTGTTTAATCCCATCTGTTTAAAGAGTTTATTGGAGTATGAGGTAATTGTGTTTGCTTCACTGGGATTCTAGTTCTCAATGCAATGATTATTATAAACTATTCCTCATTATTTATGTTTGTATTAATATTATGACTAGTTATTAATGCGTCCACTTTTGATGTAACAAAATTGGAAAGCTGTTGCGATAACTAATTTTTTACATTACAAGATGGATGCATTCCATAGAGAAGTGTACGGGGGGAAAAGAAAAGAGGCGAAATAACAACGGGAGATTGTAAGTTGTAGGAAAGAAAGAGGACAAGGGGAGGAGGGGACAAAAGAGAAATGTAGAACATACCAGGTGCTCCAGGCAAGAAAAAGGAACCATTACACCCGATGAACCGGACCACATGGAAGTAGTGTGAGAGCCCGGGCGTGAGGGACAGAAAGAAGGTGAAGGAAAGGGCAAAATCTACTACAGCCTCACGTGTTTAGAAAGCAAACATCACACGCTTATGATAAACTTTGCATGAACACAAAGCCGGTTTGACAAGCTAATAAATCTTTGGTTCTGCCTATTTAACAATTAATGACGGCTAGTCTCGATGCCTTGCAGACCCACTGACGGCAGCAGGGGCTCCCTTGAACAGCTGGTTCTCTGCTGCCATGGCGAGGCCTTCTAAGTTTAGGGATCTGATGTGAAAACTAGATGCAACCAGCAAGTCGAGGTGGTCGGCGGCGGGTAGTTGGGGCGCGACAGATATAGGAGGGGAGAAATATTGCATTCATCAGCTTGCCGACCTGCGCGCGCAATCCCACACTCACCCACCTGGGAATCTCACGCAACCACACAAATACGCACACACACTGAATAAATAAACCTACACCCAACAGGATCGATAAAATCTGCAAGATTAAAAAGGCAACTGCAGAGGACGTTGAATTACAAACACACACACACATACTATGCCACCGTATACACAACTGCATCTAGTGAACTCTAAACAATATATCCCCTAAACATCGTGTCAACAAGTACTCAATTCCAAACACGATTGTGTCCCACATAGCAAACGCAGACAGAGACAGGTCATTGTCACCGAGGGGAAAGGCACTCGGCACTTGTTGAGGATCGGCTTTCTGATGGAGCAGCATCCATTTTTGCGCTGCAGTTATAAATTATAAATCATTGTATGGCGCGGCTCTCGGCTCAGCACCGGAGGGGTTGGTGGGGGGGCGGGGGTTCGTAAGTCTCTCCTACAGGAACTTTGTCTGCTGTTTCCATGGCTGACAAATTCGGCGGTCCTGCCCCGTCGCCTCATTGGCTCCGATCCCGACGCTGCACCTCATCGGCAACGTTAAGGCTTTAAATCAACAGCCTGTTTCTCGCAGTGCTTTCAAAAACAATCACTCGTGCAACGTCACTGGGCCTCAGTGTGTGCTCGACAGGAACACCTATTTGCATCGTTGTGGATGCCAAAATAAGTCAGTAGTCATATCCCGATAACGATCGGTCCACACAAAGAGGCGCACAAACACTCACTGGGAGTAGAGCATGCGTGAGCGGACGATGAACTTGAAGATGTACTCGAGGGCTTTGAGGGTCCGGAGGATCGGCTCACACTGTTCCCTTCCGCCCGAAACTCCAAAATCATTTTTTAGCCCCGACATAATCTTCCTGTTGGGGGGGGGGGGGGGGGGGGGAATGGTGTGAAAGAAATAGCAATCATTCGTTGAGGGTTGTCATCCTTTTCTGAGGGTTGGGAAATAAATCACCGACTTCATGTTTCACTTTCATAGAGCAGAAAGGCAGACTTTATCAGACTGAGAGGGAAAGCGCGACACGGGAGATGGCCGGCAGAGAGGAGGTGGAAAAGTAGTATTTCACACCTCAACAGATGTACATTGTGCACAGCTCACAGACATTTGGATATGCCTCCAGATGCTGGGGGCGGGGGGGGGAATCATTTTCCAACCCATGCGCAACCCACCGGCGTCTTTACACGCACGCATCATTATTAAAGTGTGTCAGAGCAGCTGGAGAGGCGCAGGGTGGTAACGGGTTCAGTCTCAGTCTATTTTCTTTGACCGATCACTCACACTTTGCATCATCCCTTGTTTTTAGTTATATAGCTTTTGCAATATTTTAAAAAATTGTGATTTTGAGCATTTGGAAGAGTGCTATATAAATTAACTGTATTATTATTACTAGGATATTCATTACACAAAAAAACAATGCTGAAGGTCTAAAGAGGGCTTTGTGATGGCTTTATTCCTATGAAACGGAAGCAGGGGATAACTTATTAACTGGGTTAAACTTACCCAATCCCCTTAAACAATAAAAGCCTCAAATATGTCTAATGTCCTAAGATAATCTGGCCTCTGGCCGGCTGTCAGGGCGGCCTTCAACCCATTACCAGCGTCATTCCAATTGAGTCCACTCTGGTTTTGGTTTGGTGCATGGCTGAAAGGCGAGCATGGGAGGATTTATTCATTTTTTCAGAGCAAAGCAAACGGGGAGTTTGAAAGTGAAGAGAGTTTTACATAACAGCCACTGGGCTCACAGGCATTAAGCTGCATTGACCCCTTTAAAGAGGGTGAACGCCGACACACTAGCAAAGGAGGAGTGGAGGGATGTGGAGAGACAGATGTGCAAAGTGAGCAGGAGAGATAAGAAACAGTTGAGAAATGAAAAGAAGATTCGTCCCGGACAAAAGAGCAGGAGGAGTTGATTTTAATTTCCTAAATGAATCTCTGGCAACGCAAACAAATGTTGTCTCCGGCGTCCACTGAATCAAGTTAAGTGAATTAGCAGAGAGTAAGAAGGAGACTGAAGTGTTTGGGGTGCATGCATGAGTGCTTATGCTGCTCCACAGAGAGGTGGGGTTAAACTCTAATCCCATCCACTAAAGTGCTCCAAATGCCCACACACACACACACACACACACACACACACACACACACACACACACACACACACACACACACACACACACACACACACACACACACACACACACACACACAGGGGACCTCCTGCAGCTAGATACACAGCAGTATTCACCTGCCTCACTTCTTTAAGTGACATTGAGCACAATTGGTTTAACACTTTGGCTTGAGGTCCGGCGGACCTGACAGGATTCTGAATGGGAGCAGCCCCGTTGATGCAGTGCGTGTGTTTGTGTCCTTCAGGCTGCTACGTCATACTAGGACCCACAAAAACGCTCTCTTTTCTGGCTTGATGACAAAGCATTATCGAGATTATCTAATGGGATTTTAAATATTTCATAATTCCCTAGAGGTGGGAGAATAGCCTCGTGAGAGATGGTAATCCTGCAACAGGAGCATCGCTGGTTGTGTTACGCTTTCACACAATGATGGTACGATGGTCTCTGACACAAAGTCAAACATTGTCGTTTCACATCATAATTAGGTCATTGAGTTTACCTCATATTTTGACCTTATACATTACATGTTACAGGATTACAGTGTTTGCATTTGTCTTGTTGCTCCCTTCTCAGTCAAGACGCCCAACATGTAAATGTACTGCTTTGACAATAATAAATTCAGTGTTCTGATGAGAAAAGGGGGGGAAATGTCTGAGATAAGACATACGTGGTGAGGAAAGGCAGTGGGCTGTGAGCCAGTAACCTACTTGTAAGCCAGTGTAGCGCTGAAATGCTGCTTGATGTAGGCCTCCAACACTGTGTTGAAGTGCTGGAACTTTCTGTCAGCAATCAGACCGATGATGTGTATCTGGCAGACAATAGGGACGGACAGAGGGGGGGGGGGGTGTTACGTGATTACACAGAGGTAGACATTTACCGGGCCACATAGCAAACATTTGATAGACATCTTTATTTTGAGAAAAGTTGGTTCTGTTAGAAAGTCTGTCACAAAACCAGCTGCATCTGCTGACGAGCCGCGCGCGCACGCACACACACACACACACACACACACACACACACACACAAACGACAGTATCGCAGCGCGCGCTCACCAAGGCGTCGAACACCAGGATGTCGTAGTCGGCGGTTTGAGAGTGTTCCATCATGATGTTGAACAAAGCATCCAGGGTGTCCTGCAGAAACTGAACGTACACACACACACACACACAGGCGGAGAGGTCCGGTGAGAGCGCACACATCAAAGTTCACGCACTCTGATTCGCACCCCTCACCTTGACCACCTCCTCTCCATCGATTATTTTCAGCTTCTCGAGGTTCTCTTTGAGGAGTTCGGGTCGAGTCCTCCACTTGAGCAGCCCCAGCAGGCCCACTGGAGAGGAGAGAATTAAAGCTTTTGTATTGAAAATACTGTCCTAGTTGTGTTGTCTTCTGAATAGGTTTTTTTCTGTCTCGCTCTTTTTTGGAGCAGAATAAGCTTTAAGCTTGAACTTTAACACTATATTTAGCTGTCAGTGACATGTTGGTCTGTATAGGCTGTTCCACTGCTTAGTGAGTCAGCGGCGCATTCAAATCCACGGTTTCCCTCATTATTTCTGCTACAGTTTGACACAGGGCAGATGTCCATGTCTCTGCTAGCTCACTGCTTTTCCTTTCCAGTAATGTCTGAGTGTGTGTTGTGATTGTTGGGGTGTTTATGTGTGTGCGTGTGTGTGTGTGTGTGGTACAAGTGATTAATACTGCAGAATAATGTTCTTTATAGTGATGGACTGGCTTCCTCAGTAACAGCTGTTAAACTGATGCACTGCACCGCCTGGAACGTATGTGCAGTTATGCATTTGTAGATGGATTTCAGTGTGTGTGCGTGTGTGCGTGCGTGTGCGTGTGTGCATCTGCTAAAGTGGCTGCCTGCCAGAGTGTGTAGGACAAAATGACGCCAGGCTTCACTAATCAAACCCATGTATACACACGGTTCGCCCTTCCCGAGGGGGCGGGGGGGCTCAGTATCGCATAATCAAAACACGTCACACCCACATGCACCTGTAGTTCTGCCACCATTTACCGAACAGATATGTTTATAGACGCCCACTTTACTCCTTTCTCACCCGTCAGCTACCGCCATCAGGCTCTAACTTTTACACCCGAAACAACATGGAGCCCTGGAGCACCAGCAAAAGCCCCTTTCAGGTCTGGAGGCGAGCTCAGGAGAGTCAAATGTAATCTGACGGAGGAGCTCAAGGAGAGCGCAGAATGCCTGAACCCTCTCACCGATAACGGAGTACGTGATGTCAGCGCTTAGAATCTCTAGATCTCTAGAACCCCCAGAGGAAACATGTAATGGTGGTCTAGTGTAGTAATAATTGATATCAAATGTCATTTGTGAAAAATCAATGTTTTTTTTTTACACAAAATAGAGACATGAATTATAAAACTACCCTTTGCAAGATTAAAATTAGAAATGTCCAATTTAATTAATGAATACACTTCAGCTACTCCTTATACGTACACACTAACTAATGTCGCAGCTAACGGCTATCTTATTCAGCAACATTTATAAAACATGCTGAACTGGCTGAAATGGGGAAACGTTCAGGTAGACGTCTGAAGCCATTCGTCGCGAGAGGTCTAAAAGGGTTGGGAACCGCTAGATGAACTCCTGGTGACTTGAGGGGGAAGAATTATATGGGGGCAGAGCATAATGCTCCCGGCACTCGGATGTGCAGAAAGCCCCCTGTTTGATTATGTTATCTTTCCGCTATATATATTTTGCCGCAGGAGAAGAAGACCTTTGATAAGCCTTGATCCATGACTTTGTACGTGTGTCAATTCTTTCTGCATGCTTGACAGTATTCAATTAATGTCCCGTTCAGGTTTGCTTTAAAACACCTTCCCCTTTATAATTCATGTGCCAACATTTGTGTATATAAGGGGGTGTGTGTATTTTTTTCAAAAACCTTATTTTGCCCTCCCAAATCTAAAGAGGAGCAGAATATTAATCCCAATGTCACAAAAGACAACCGCCTCCCACACACACACACACACACACACACACCTACCATTCTGCGTGAGTTTGGTGGAGCAGACCAGGGTGGAGATGCTGAAGCTGTCTCTGGAGCTGACCGACAGGCCTCCGCTGCCGGACACGTTGCTGGAGCTGCGGCTCAGCGCTGCCGCCTTGTGGGCGTGCGCGTCACCATGTTGGTTGCGCGTCGGGGGCAACGACAAGTAGCAATTCACGTCCTCCATGCGCTTGCTGTCACCCTGAGAGAACAGTGCACCGGTTGGGGATGAGAGCTACGATCTTCAGTGTTTAATCAAAATGTCTTGCTTGATCGCGCTGCACTGGTTATCAAGGCGGCTCTGAAGGAAACATGACAACCAAGGACTGAAGCAGCCAGTTCTGCGGCAGACTAACTTCCCTCTGGGTTGGAAACCTATATTTTTCCTATATTTCATTAGCCCCTCAACCTCATACTCTGCCCTCTTTAATGCCAAACCAGTAGGTAATAATGAGTGAGTGGGTGGGAATAAGAGATTGAGGCCATGAGTGAGGTATGCTGGTATAACGAGAGATAATCAGAAACAAAAGGCACACAGAGACCTTCCTTTTGGTCTTTGAGTGCATCAGGAGTAATTTATCTTCATTGCATTTGACATTTAATCAATAGGCGGAATCAATCTTAGCTTTGGGATCATTTGGCAGCAAATCTATTTGGCTTCAACCAAACCGGGGGGGGGGGCATAATCTCCCATCCAGACTCCCTATTTCATTGTTTTTAGTCATAGATCAAACTGAGCATAACTGTCGTCGTATTTACAATATATTTCAGACCGACAAGTGATCTGATTTTTTCTACTATGTTTGAGGAAAATCACAGCAGCAACCTGTAAAATCTACAATTCATTTTCACAATTAAAGCCTTACAAACGGCAGCAAGCTTAATACAGTCATTCAAGTCTGACCATGAATGATATATCAACAGGCTGTGTTACTCTACTAACCACCAATGAGTGAACAGCTTTTTTTTTAAAAGTTTTTTTAAGGTCTCCATGAATAAATCAGGTTGATTTATTTATTTGTCTTTTTCGATTGATACTGAACTTTGAGTTTATCTGTTTCTGACCTTGAAGACAATAAGGTCATGCAGCCCGTCCTGTAGAACCGTCCCGTCTTCCTTCATCAGACGCACAAAGGCCATGGCAAAGTTTTTCTCACTCTTGTCTTTGGCTGGAGACAGATTTGTGAAGAGGAGGAGGGATGTTCAGGGGAAAGAGACATCAGGGGAACAGAAAGGAGAGGAGGGATGGTGAAGACTCCAGGAATGGGAGGAAGGACAACCGATTTAAGATCAAGAGTGCGTAATGATGCTTTGGCTAATTCAACACATTGCCTCCCATCACTCAGCCCTGTCAGTGGAGGGAGTGTGGATGTCGGGAGAGAACAGAGCAGCAGAGAGGCTGATACTCACACTCCTGGGAAGAGCGGTGTCTGAACATGAAACGCAAATGAACTTTGTGCATTTCTTCCAGAGGGACTGCCACCTAGAGGACAAAAAACAGGTATACCTTCTAGAAGCTTATGGTAAATCACAAATGCATAAACATCAGATGTATTCAAGAAACCTCCACAAGAAGTCTACCACTAACTACCGTGGAGTAGTTCTTGAACTCCCTCTACAACACACACACACACACACAAACCCACCTTAATTGTCTCCATCCAGCGGGGCTGTTTGATTTGGTAGTAGATGACTGATCTGTACTCACTGACCAGTTTATCCCCTGCACCCAGACAGATGGAGTTCTAGGGAACAGGGAGAGAGACATACAAATACAGGACATATTGAGCTGAGGGATTTTACGTTTGCGTGCGTTTGTGCTTTAATAGGTTTTTATTTCTGGGAGTAAAGCCGCGTCTGTGCGCCGCCCCCCCCCCCCGAACCATGGAAGGGTTGGTTCACTGGCCCGTAAAAAAAACACACACCCTCAAAGCGATCAGGCGATGGGTTCCTGCTGCTCACCTGTATGACCTTGCCCTCCTCGTCGCACACCCACATGATGACCTCCACGTTTTTCTGCGTCGTCTTGTTGTACTTGTCAAAGTCGCCGCCCTGTAAGGTGAGGTAGATGTCGTTGCGAACATCTCCCGGCATGATGATCTCTGGGAAGCCCAGCTTGCGGGCGACCACGGTGCTGCGGTCCACCAGGTGAGGGTATTCCTTCCGGATCTGAACTATGTCCCCCACCAGAGCCTTCATGGTCACCCACAGACCTGGAGGGAGGAGGAGGAGGAGGAGGATGAGGAGGAGGAGGAAGGAAAGGCTATGCATTAATGTTCACAATTTAATTTTGACCACCAAATTGTTTCATCCTTTTTCAAGAAATGTCCCGATAAAAATACATATTCTTGATAAGGCAAGAAGGTCCTGGGTTCGACTCCGGCCAGTGGCCTTTCTGTGTGGAGTCTGCATGTTCTCCCTGTGTCCGTGTGGGTTCTCTCCGCAGTCCAAAGACATGCTCTGGGGATCAGGTTGATTGGGGACTAAATTGCCCGTAGGTGTATGAATGTGAGTGTGAATGGTTGTGTGTCTCTGTGTAGCCCTGCGATTGGCTGGCGGCCAATCCAGTGTGTACCCTGTCTCTCGCCCGAAGTTGGGGATAGACTCCAGCCCCCCTGCGACCCTGTGTGCAGGATAAGCGGTGTGCAGATGGATGGAGAGATAGAAAAATGTTTAATTCCGGGATTTAATAAAGCGGTGTCCGTTTGCAGTCAACGACCTTCCCCGGTTGGATTGAGTATTTATTAGACGTATCTATTCATTATCTATTGCTCCCTAAAGATTATCACACTTTTAATGTAGTTTCACAGACATGAGAGAGTGACCAAAATTACACCCCATCCAGGTGGAGAGAACCAGGTTTGTCTGGCTTTCAAAAGGTTAAAGTCAATACTGTACTTCATGAACTGTGTGCTAACAAATATCAATATACTTCCAATCATTAACTTAGACAAATAAGTGCCACTCCGGGTTATTTCAAAAGAGGGATCCAGAGGGGCATTTTCCTCTTCGGCAGGTAAGTAAAGAGAAATTAAAGCCAAATGAATGAATAAGAAATTTCGAGGTACGACTAAAACAGAATGTAAAACACTTTAACATGTTTTCAAGGCCAACTAAAACCCTGCAACATTCAGCCCAGTGTGAGAGCCACTTTGGGTAAAATGTAAGTATTTATCTGTGGGGAGCATAACGCATAACGCAACGTGTTTCAAAGTGAAGCGTGGAAGTGAAAATGTCTGCGGCTGTTCTACACCACAATGCAATTACAAGCACTATAAAAAGTCAGTCTACTGTTTAAAGGAGGGTCTACTTTTTTTAAAGGAATATGGGCTTTCGAAATAATTATGTTCGAAAGCACAGACAAGCAGAGACATGAGGACGGAAAGAAGGGTTACTTGTTTATTTCGGGGAAAGAGTTTTCTGAGGGGTTCCGGTGGATGTGACAAACCCACGTTGTTCAGGGCCTCTGTGTTTGTGTCAGTGTTTATGTGCGTACTTTGGCTGAAGCATCTCAAAGTGAGAGATAGGACTGATTAACGTGAAGAGCAGAGCGTTGACGTCAGGTGCTCCGTCCCTATCTGCTTGTCCAGGTGCTCTTTTCATATCTAGGTTACGCCCGGGGGTGTTTAGGGGCGAGCGGAAAAGATAGAGGCCCGAGCGAGATCTATGTCGCCCTCAGCATCTCTGTCAAAGTCCCCCGTAAACATGAGATAGTGCAGCTGGACCGCAGGCCGGTAAAGGGAGAAATAAAGGATAAGTGACATAAAGACATGGGCGAGAGGGCGCATGCGATCCATCAGGATAATGCCCGTCATGTCTAGCCGAGACAAAAGGCGACCGACTGATGAGAAGTGACCATTTCGTCGGACCACAAATGACTGCAGTCTTCACAGTCCAGTAGGAACCTCAAATGCACACAGGACCACTGACCTTAGGTCACAAGGCTTAACGACTAAGAGAGAAGACCTACCTTGTCCACCACTGTCCCCTCGCGATGCTGTCACTTTGTTCAGTAAGGAGTGCAGAAAGTCATTCTCAGCGACCACACTGGAGCCACATGGACACAGAAAAACACACTTGGAGATCACACAAACACTTTTCGATTTTAAAATTGTGCAGAAGCGGGAAAAAAATGGCAATATTGTTATATAATTACCATGTGTGAGTGATAGAAAAGGAAAATGTACGTACGGGAAGAAGGGAATGAAGAACTGTTTCTCCTCGTCGCATTCGATCTTCCCTTTGATGAGATCACTAATGTCCATTACTGCCAGGAAGAGGGAAACAAATGTGTGCGGGATAACAAAATCAAAGACAATGCTGCGGGGTAATTTCGGATGTGGATTCACATCAGTCAGCAATGACAGCCGCTGTGGACGTTTGAATTTCAATCTCTTCATCACAAACTCGTCCGCGTCGATTCAGAACATACAAAACATGTTTGAGCCGGAGGAAGCAACAATAACAAAAAAGTTAGTGGAATACATATAACAGTATTTTAGTTTTGTCTGTGCAAAAGATGACTGTGTTTGCTGTGGTGTTGTTTAGTTACGGGGCTTGAATATGGGTGATAACAGCTGCAGCAGCAACTGCTGACAAATCAGAGAAAACTATTCTGACCTTTGCCAACAACAGCGAAAGTCTACTTTTCCTTAAGTCCACTAAATGCCATTATGTTGGCTAAACCGGTGCCTTTTGGCAGTTGAATGAAGCAAATTGACCTAATAACTACAAATAAGGTGGCACACAGTGCTTGAACAATTTGAAAGCACCTTTGACAAAAGAAAACAACAGCCCTGCATGGGCGGCTCTATAAGTACCTGCTACACCGAACGGACGCCTCAGGCCTTGAGTGCTCTTCTTGTTGTTTGTCTCCTTCAGGTCCATCCTGCCCACTCTCACTATCTGACAGATGAGGTAAATCTTGTCCCTGCCCAGGTCCTTGTTCCCCAGGTCCTGGTAGACTCAAAACAGAGAAAGCCGAACAATTAGTACAGATTGGAAGCGGGAGTGACACACACGACTAACAGGATTAACAGACAGTGCGGGGACTTCGGGTTACGTGGGAAAGAGGGTGAGAGGGGAAAATGAAGAAGCAATTCAATCTCCTAAGAGGGGATGCATCTACTCATGCGGTGGTCTCTGATGCTGAGCCGCGGCGCGGTAGTGCCCTCCACTGGTTACTCACCGTAAAGACAACCTTCAGGTTGTTGAGCATGTCGATCTCCTTGGGGAATCCTTTACTGCCCCAACGTATCAAGTAGTTCTCACTGCACACAGCACGGAAAACAGTTGTTGTTACTGTTCTGCAAAGCGATACCACACATTTCTTTGATATGCAGCATATATATGCATACATATATATATATATGTATATACATATATATATATACACAACCAGACAGTGACGGAGGACTGAATAGAAAGAAAGATACATAGCTGAGGGTCTTTGGGTAAAGCAGGATGTGTAAAAAGTTCCTAAACATCTCACCGAAATAAACCAGAACTAATGCCAAGAAAGTAAGAGACGATCGGTGGTGAGAATTAGAACTTCACAGTACGACAGTGAGTGACGGGGCTTAACATCGGCACCGTCAGGCACCACATAGCACTGCCAGTCAGCATGTTCTGCCCTATAATTTGTGTTCGCTTTATTCTTATTTCTGGTATCCCATTGTTCTAATTTAGAGAGCTTCAACAATGGAGAAAACACGGCAGAAATGAAGGAGCAAGAGGATAGATACATAGACAGCTGATTCAGTGATACTTTCATAGGTACTGAGGTGGATGCGGTGGAGGCTAAACCCATCTTAATTATTTGATTTAAAGGACGGAGTTCTTTATGTGCTTTATTATCTAAATGTTTGATTAAATCAACTATTCAAAGAACAATTTTAGAAGAAATAATAATAGCTATATTAAATAATAGTCTATAGCTATAAAGCTTTTTTTTTATTAAATCTTCCAGACCCCATCATAACCTTAAGTTTGTTATTTGAAGACGAAACATTTCAACTTTCATATGAATCGTAAAATCAACCTGAAAACACACTGAAAAGAAAGCATCAACATGTTATGAAACACCTTTTGAGTCCCACTGTGAGAGAGGGGGGGGAGGGTGGGGGCGTATATGTAAGAGAGAAGGACCAGGCGCACCTGATGATGCTCTGTTTGACGGGGTCATAGAGCGACATGAAGAGCTCCGAGTCCTCTCCGATGCGGCACACAAAGTTCCTGACGAAGACGTAGAGGCTGTGCGTGGGCGAGGATTGGATTCGCGCTGAGATGCCGCTGTGGTCCGTCTGGACGTTGGACTGCGGGGAAGGACGTTAGTTGCAGGAGGTTCACTTTGGACAAAGAGTTTAACCGGATACGGTGGCGGCCAAAAGCCTTCGCTTCAAGGTCCTGAAGACGCTGCTGTGAGAACTAATGGCTCTTTACTGCACTCTGGGGTGTAAGAGCTCTGATTGCGGGTCGGTAAGGGAGAAGGAAATTACAAATGACGAGTCTGCATGGAGATGAAATGAAGTCAAACCAATTTGAATGGAAGTGAAATCTTTTCTTTTTTTTAAGACTTTATGAAAGTTCCACCCATTCAATTTCTTATCTATTTAATAGATATCTACTTTACGATGGAAAGTCTAGTGCGGTGCAGCAATATCAAAGCTGTGTCTCAAAGCATCTGCCATCACATCCACCCGTGAGATTCTCTCTCTCTGCCTAATGAAACTTTCCGTCTGGAGCTTTTTCCCCCTCCTGGGTTCCAATTCTTCTGGTCCCCGGTGCACTGCCGTCTCATCTCTTTTCCTACCTGCTCCTCTTTGATGCGCTCGTTGATCTTGGCTGTGGCCTCCTCGTGGGCCCGAAACAGACTGATGACACTGGCCCGTTCCGGGTCCAGGATGTTGCCATCCTCGTCGCGGACCACCTGGTCCAGCTCCAGGATCCTGCGGAGAGAAGCGGGAGATTGGAGGTGTTCGGTGGACAGACGAGAAAAAGAAGAAGAAAAAAATGGAAAATAGAAAATGCTTTGGAGAAGAAGACTCGGGTGGTGGGAGGCAGAAGGAAGCAGAGAGGTATGAAATATAAATGGAGAGGACGCTGAATATTTTGAGGTGAACAAGGAGGCGAGACAACAGAAAACTGCCGTGAGAGAAAGTTGTTTTGGGTTGTGTTTTTTTTTTAAGAAGTCGTACTTGTTGCCATAGTCAATCTTGGAGGTGACTTTCTGCTTGAGCTCCTTGAATTCGTCACTGGGCAGAGTGCCAGAGAGGAGCTGGGAACGCCACTCCATTAGGTCCCACATAAGCCTCTGGACCTGCTTCACACGCCTCAGCTTATTGGCCTGGACAGGTGGATGCGTAGTGTTAAGCTCAGACATGCGCAAATGAACATCCACAAAGCGATGCTTCTCGTTGTTGTTGTTTTTTTACCACAAAGAGTTGCTTCCATATGCTTCCCCACTCCCTCAATGTGGTGGTCACCTCCTTGACCAAGGGCATCTCTGCAGACATCACTACCTCCTCGTCTCTGTGGTCGCACGTACGAGACAAAAGAAAACGAGTGAAGACAACGTAACTTTGCGTCAGGTGAAGACTTTTTTAATGCACTCACCCCTGCTTTTCAATGACGACCTGTTTAAGATGAATGAAACTGGCAGGAAACACTCCCTGGAGAGGAATGTGCATGAGGGAGATCAGGGGAAAGGATTGTAATCATTAGTAGCTTTCACCTTTTCCATCCGCACAGCTACAGAACAAGACCTCCCCGGTGACTGAGATTGATTGTTGTTATTCTCACTTTTCGGCTGAAATCAATGTGATGTGCCGTCTGGCATGAAAACAGGTGACGTGTTTGTGTGAAGTCTTACCCATTGGGCATTGTTCCTAACCAAGTGGCCTCTGTACCAACCTGAAAGACAAATTGACCGTCACCCTACTTTACTTTCCTGTCTACAATCTGTGGTGTTTATGATGAAATGTCTCGACCACATGTCGAAGTTATGAAACCTGGTGAAAGAACTATGAGGCGTACAAAATGAAACTGGTACCAAAATAATTGTGCAGTAAATATTTGATCATGTAAAACATATTTTTTAAAACGAACGTCAAGAAATGCCACCTAAATAATGCTAAATGCATCATTTTTACCATAATCTTTTATTTTGGTAGTTTGCATTTTAATATGCAACCTTGTTTTAGAACAATGCTATTAATAGTGATGATATCAACATATCTTGCATGCTTCACAGAAAACACATGGGGGGGAAAAAAACATAGAAAGGTAATTTAGGCATAAGTGCTACCTCCCATTTTTATAATGTGTCATATTCTTACCATCGCAGACCTCCTGGATCTGGACTGCATCTCCTACCTCCAGGGACAGCTGCTTCTTTCCGTTGCCAACAAAATTCCACTTGACTGTCAAGGACATAATTATACTGGTTACTGGCGCATTTGATGGACCGCTGTTTAAAGGCAATGCAAAGAAAACACTTTGCAAGCACACAAGCACCAACTGAGCGGAGCCAGTACTCATGTTATGGATGTCAGCACAGGCGGTACGCCGGCGTCGACTTGGTGGGCGAGGTGACGCCGTTCTTTAACAACCGCCCTTCTCTAACTGCCACATGAACCTTTGAAGCGAGGGAAATGTGACTGAAGAGAAGCAATTGAAACAAACCCATAAAATGACATGAGCAAAACAATAAAAAATACAATAAATTCAGATAGAAAGGAAATACATTTACAACAATAAATGAATACACATAAAACTTTTTTTACTTCAGACAAAATAATTGACCTAAAAAGTAATATGCAGATTGACCAGTAATAAAAATGCTTCATATACAGCATGGCATGCATAACAAAAGGGTCCCTGCAAAGAGTGCGTTGGATGTCAGTACGTTGCAGAAAGTAAGTGCAGCAGTGAAGCTATCGTCTAATTGAATGCAGCTCCGGCTTCAAAGAAAATACGTCCCTCCTTCTTCTTCCACTTCCTGTCTTGTAGTCTTATGCAGACCAGGAAGAAATTATGTCTAGATACAGATGAACAAAATCTCATTGAGTAATCCTCTTAGTAATTGATTCAAAATGTAAGATACATATATTTTTTTAACGTCAATCTTAAGATATATAGCGGTAAAAAGGCTTAAAGATTTCAATGTATTGTCATGGATCACTTACAATGTAAAGTGTGTGTCAAACTGAAGGAGTGCATCGTCTGCTATTACATCCACTCATTCTTTATTAGATGTGAGAAATCAGTGTCCTGCTGAGCTTGTGTGCTTCTCGCATATCTAACGGCAACACATGGTGATCAGCTCGGCCATATTCAACCCACATACCCGATAAAATACGGCTTGTGGTGAGACGCTGAGCCGTACCCATATTGGATTTGTTCAATGTACCAAAAGCTTATCTATCTACACACAAAATGTGAATTCCTTGCTTTTGTGTTGTCGAGGTGCACGTTGAAATGCAATCAGATTGTCTTAGCCTGCACCGGCTCAGGATGGATATTAACTTTGAATACGTTTCCACCCGCCAATCAATCCACCAGCTCTCGTGCCTCCTGATTGAATGTTAATGGTGAACGTGATTGTAGGGTTCAAGTATCCTTGGTGGTAGTTACGTCCTAAAGTTGTCTGAGACCGTTAGCACCTGCTCACATCCTGTTGAGCAGGAAGTCGTGAGTATCCATTTCTCTCCTTCTTGCACATAGCACGGCTAAATGGGGAGGCACCAGAGAAACGTTTCTGCGCGTGCACACACACACACACACACACACACACACAAAGACAGACACAAGTGAGCTCCCTCTGACTTACCAACACCATAGCGCTCTGTGGCGGTCCGCGTCCAAGGAGCCATGTTTGCATGTAGCCCTTCGTTCGATTTTCAGTCTCGTCTTTCCAATTCACCTCCGATCTCGCCTTCTCTCTCTCTCTGTCTGTCTGTTTCTTTTTGACAGAGTGCCTGCTCAACTTTCTACTTCTGTTTTTTCTTTTACTTGAAATGAAGGCAACAGGCCCATCCCCCTTTGCCTCTCTTCCTCTTCTGCCTCTCGTCTCTTCCTGACCTCAGGCCGTTAAGGGGAAGTGAGTGAGTGTGACAAGGTGGAGTCCTGTAGAGGCCACAGGCCCGCGCGGCGTGTCAGTGTGTCTCGCTTTGGCTCATTTGGGTTTAGCCGATTCATTTATTTGTGTTGTTTGCGCACATTTCCTGTCACAGGAGGGGTTGAGCGGTGATGTAAATAGCACGCAGGTCATATTTGTGATCCATTCTTGAATCCGATCTAAATAAGTAATGCACACCAAACAACTTTGAAAGTCGATGAACAAAGTTTCCAAAAGATATTTTTTTTTGTTTTGGAGTTTGCTTACTTCAGGAACTGAGTATAAACTAATTGTGCACTCCTTCATCTTCCCTGCATCCACTTTTAAACTAACAACCCTCTATGCTGACAGATTTTATTATCAGCATGATGTGTCGCACACTCACTATTGAAACATTCACACACTCACTACTGACACACTCACATACATATTATGCACGCATATCATATGTAAAACATTATACATACTTGGCTGAAACACGTACTCACATATAAAGGTATATATAGGCCCTTCCTTAATATAACACTGGACTTGTCCATTGCTGCATCAGGTGTTGAGACAGGTGTGATTGGTGTAAAGAAATACAGCCATGGCGTTTTTACCGAGGTGATAATTAATGGGTGCAGCCAGACGTATATCTGGTGCTCACACATGGCTGTGGGGACGAGGCTGGCTGTGGGGAACTAAAGCTGTCATTTCTTGCTAACACCCTAACACGCACTAACAAATGTAGGCAATACTTTGCATCTCCAATAGAAGGGGGTAGAGAGTTCTAAACCATTTGTAATTACTGTATTTATTCCCCTGGCATTACCTCATATTATCTTATCAATATGTAGGGCATCGATTTTAAAACAACAGCTAGGGTTTAAAGGGGGAGCTGCCAATGACATAGTGGACCCCCGAGGTGGAAGGAAACATCTCAGGGTACATTGTTGTGGTAACACGATTGGATTTGGATTTGCCGCTGACAGAAAGGTGTGCGTATTCATCCCCAGGTGTGCACACATGAGACGCAGCAACACAAGGTCAAAAGGGAGAGTGAGAGAAAGACAGAAATGGAGATGAAGAACGAAGAGAAGGACAGAACAAATGAAAAGATGATAAAGAAAGATATGTTATCGCCTAGTTCTGGGTAGTGGAACAAACCTGGAACCTTGTAGCTTTGACACAAGGACAAAGGAAGGTGGAGCTAAAGGCTGCATAGAAAAAAAATAGTGATTTATATGATGTATGAGGGAATAAAAAGAGACAGCAAGCAGATGCTGTAACATAGGGAAAATACACAAATAGATATAAACATGCCATTTAGCGTCAGCTATGCTTAGGGACCCAAGACAGAACCAAAGACACAAAGGTAACAACAACAAGGAAAAGAGAAGGCAATAACAAAAGTAAAATGAGATGTTATAAGGAGTTTTAAATGTCTCCAACCCAGGATAGAGATCTATAGGAAATGATAGCGAGGCAACATCAGGGGCTATAGCGCATTAAAAATAGATACAGAGGCTGAGTCAAAGGCTGCACCAGAAATAGAGAGATTGATTTAGAAATCTTTATGACCTTTCAGGTCCAGTTCTCATAGATGTACCAGAAAGCCACCCATCCATCACTCTCTAAAGCTTTATTCAACTGTTTAACGTTTAGAGTTCAGTGGAATTTGGATCTTAAAGGACATGAAGCGATGCATGCGAGAATACCGTACCTTCCCCGTGTGTCGGCCCGCCGGCCCCCGATGCAAGCTGGACTTATCTGCCAGCAGCTCCATTTAGACCGAATGCAACAGGTTGCTTGCATTCTTCTGCCAAGTCTCCAAAAGCAACAGCCACAGCAGCTGGATCATGGATGTTATAAGGCATGATTAGAAGCGCTATTAGAATAAGAGTGAGAGAGAGAGAGAGAGAGAGAGAGAGAGAGAGAGAGAGAGAGAGAGAGAGAGAGGCTGTGGTTCTCGCCGCTCTCAGGGAGCAGAGCGCGGCAGCAGGGACCGTCGTCTCAGGAAAGGAAAAGCAGCACGGGGGTGAGTTGATGAATTCCTACTTTAGATCTTCTTCAGTAAATTAGAATGTTTTGAACAATTTGGCTTGACAAACGTCGTCCCTCCAGCTGTGTTTGTGCCCTGCCAGCATGTTTGAGACCGCCTTGATTTCCTGCTATGCATTTCAAGTAAAAGATAGAGAGAGTGAGGCAGTAGCTTATGATTGGTGTGTACAACATTCGAACACCTAATGCTGCTCTGAAAGTTGGCCACCTCGAGAAAAAAAAATTCATTCATTTTTTTGTAATTGAGGTTTAATGATCTGAGATTGAAAGTCGTGGGTTTGTGTTTGAGCAAAGCTCAACTGAGTCAATACCGAGGCTGGTAAGAGCATGTGAACTCTGCACAAAGACAAATACACGAAGGGGTCATTTAATCGGCACTCCACATGAGGAAGTGAGAATGTGCTGTGTGTGTCTGTGTCTGTGTGCGTGTGACTTGTGGTTAAAAATGCTATACCTTGCTTTAGTGCAGTTGCTACAGCTACATACCTCACACGGGAAAGTACCATTTGACAACAGAATCACCAAATGACTATTATGGCAGCAGCCTAAAAAAAAACCAAATCAAATCAAAATTGTCGCATCATTACAATTAGAGCTCAAAGTGGATCAGTCAACCCGAGTGAGAGACAGTTCACGACCAGGTGACGTCTTTGTATCAGCTCAATGAGCCACTAGAAGAGGATGTGGTTAAGTTCATGACTTGGCCGGGAACTCCTCGCCTTCCCCTTTCCTCGTAAAAAAAAAAAAAAAGCTAATATATCGGCAGATATACAGCAGATAGGAGGAATGCTGGGGAAGGATTGATTATTAAGTTGAGGCAGTGCATCCAGGAGCTGTGACGCTGACATAACAGAGTTGAGGGGAGGACAAGGCTGACGCAATGAGGGGGCGAACTATTATCCCCGTAATGACTTGAACTTGTTTGTGTGTGTCTGAGGAAGGCATGCTGTTAGTGTACATGCATATTTCATGCGCCCCCCTCCCCCTCCCCCACTGCTGCCTGTGTCGCCGTCTGACCTCACGTCTGTCACTCACACCGTTATGTTTTCATGCCTCGTCAAGATTCCGCGGTTTCTTTCCGCTGGCCGGGGGACACACACACACACAACTGTTACCAAGCAACCCACCATCCAGCATCCCTTTCTCCCTCTTAAAAAGGACGGCACAAAGACAAACAAGAAGACCACGCGGCACAAAAATTAACACAGCTATAGATTTCTCTGCAAAGGCAGAGGAAGCGATTGAGCCGAGTGTTTCTGCTTGATTGAATTACAGGAGGATTAATGAAGCCTTCAGATTGTCGCTGGGATGTTCACTGCGTGCAGGGCCCATTCAGTATGACGGTCCTCGCTAAATAAAAGGAATCAGGAAACATTTATTGCCAAAATATGTCATGCATACAAGGATACAAAAGGTGTATTGACCTCATAGCAGTTCCTTGCTTTTCTTTTAAGTATGCCTGTATCATATCTGGAACAGACAATCTACAGCTCTGCTAAATAGTTGACACAATAAACTCGAGCTTCAGCTTCTTTAATCTTTCGACCCCTCGGCAGTTGACCAACGGCCACCAAAGAATGCGTGTGACTGAGTGCACGAGGTCACTGTTGTGTAGTTGGGCCGTGCAGCGCCGACACGGAGCTCCGCACACTTTTCAGCAGTATGGCAGAGACGCGCATAGCGAGTGGTGCGTGAGTCATCTTGCCGAGCCTCTTCACAACCGTCAGGAGGCAGATACGCTGACTGTGATTGCGTTTTAATGGGCTTAATGAATGAACGAATGACTGAATGAACTGGGTTATTTCCTGCAATCAATCAGGCTGCAGCTACCACGTAAAAAAGTAAATCTGACACCCTTCTCCCAACATTTCAGTGATTTCACTGGGGCCGGATTAGGCGATTTCCTCCCGGTAAATACATTGGAATACATTGCATTGCATTTGTGATAATATAGGTGATTACGTAAACATTTGGGCTGGAGAAGAGCAGATATGTTTATACCTCCAAAAAGACAGCTGGCTGGTTAAAAAAAAAAAAAAGGTGCCAGAATGAATTCGTGGTATTTGGAGAATCTCAAATCAAGCAACAAGTCCCAGCTGAGAGGTAAATAACCTCATTACTCATCTGCGAGCTCCGACTGGGAAACTGCAAAAGAGCCACGGATCCGTTCTTTTCCTCCTGCCTTTTATCTCTGTACCCAAATTGGACTCTTTTCACCAGACCACTTACTGGGTAATAGAAGGTTTGATGGGGCGGACTGAAGCCTCCCCAGCTTGTTGGCATTGTTCTTGTGTCGGAAGATGGATGACAGGGAGAGAGCGCTGTTCCTGGAGGTTAACCAGTTCCTATTTCATTCAACCAACTGCTCCACACAGATAATGTGGGGGCCTGAACGCCCTCAAAGCCCCAGACCCTTTAGTCCCCTTCTGGTTGTCACCTGGAAACATGCCTCTGAATTCTCCAGCAGAAAACTCCTGTTTGTAGGAGCCGCCTTTATGTCGCGAGGAAAACCCGGCTCTCAGCAGCCATTACGATCCATTACAAGCTTCCAGATCAATTACTAAGAAAGAATCTCCAGGTTGTGGGTTGCTGTGTGTCATTGATAATATATACATATGGAGTAACACCCGCCATCGTTTTCCATTAGGGACAACTGATGAGAAGTTTGTGAAAGGAAACAGATGGTCGCTAATACATTAGCACACTGCCTGAATGAACGATACTGCATTTACTATAGAAGGACATCGTTCTTCAACGCGAAGGTGAAAGACTTTGACTTTCTGCTGCGATGCGCTCGGCGCAGACTAACAGCGGCTTGATGAAGTGAAACCACATGCAAGCCATTTCTGCAAACGACGCTCGCGCTCACTGCTGGTTCTTGATAACGGAGTGGGCCGCGTGGTATATTAATAAAATGTTATAGTAACACAAATATTTGTGCAAAAATAAACAGGAAACGAATATGGTTATGTTCTCACACACGTGCACCGTGACATGGGAAAGGGAGCTCATGCATTTGGCCGGAGACGGATAACAAGCGAGCACACACATCCCTATATACACATTGTGTCCCGGGGTCGAGACGAGGTTATTCGTAAGCTTCCATTGACTGCAATACATGTCCATTTGAGGACATTCTTCACATGCGCGCGTTGGAGCCGAGCCTAAACCCCTTTCCGAACCTGCACGTGTTGCGCTTGGGAGCGAGACAAGGAAAGTGGACGTGAAACGTGTCCTCTCGGGGATTCGCTCCATCAGTGGTTCTGTGAAACACAAAAGCCGAGATGTCCTCCGAGAGCCAGACTCAATCTACTAGCGGCCGAGCTATCAGCTACTTCTGGATGAAGTTCAAAGCAGTGAGTCGGGGGACAGAAATGTGTCCAACGAACAAAGGAGCCAAGATTGGACGAGCTCACAGATTAGAGCTGGTGTGCTGGTTAGAGCCGGATATTAATTCAAAACCGTGGCATTTTCCTTTTCATCCCGGAGTGTAATAGTCTTTCTTTTTCCCCCCCCCACTTTCACGTGAAGCCGGCGTGTGCACCTCGCCGCGTCCCTCTCACTCTTTCAGGTGATAAGTGAGCGGCTGCTGATAAAGTCTGGCAAATGTCCCGATGTCCATTACAGTGTTAGAAAATAGACGAGCAAACATTTCCCACCACCCACTGACGCACACACACACACACACACACATGTACTCCACTCACACACATTCTACACTTATCAGGCAGCTCTGCTCATTCCAGCAAGCACACAATAAAGACTCATGCCGACATGCCATTGATAAGTTCACAGAGTGCAGATGACACGGAAACCCGCTCGAGAAGGTCTACGGAGCAAAAGCTCGAATATAAGAGATCTAAGAGAAAAGGATTTTTGTTCAAATTACCTTGACAAAATAATGGGAATTATGTTGATGCTGAATGTTTCATAAACAACCTTTTTGTTATTCACAGCCACTATTGGTTAACTGTATTTATTATCATATCATTATTCGCTCGCTGGTCTCCTGATTCAAACCAAACCTTCCATCCATGGCATTATTTCATCAAAATGTTAATCGCATTTAACTGAAACTGAAATATAACTTGGTTTCATCTCAGGCGTAGCAATCTGAGATATTTAGCAGTGCTGCTTGTTTATGAAGTTGCACATGTTGGCCTGAGCTAAACAAACTACCGTTTTGGTCGCGGTTTTATCAAAAGGGGGATTGGAAATCCCTTTGGCGGACAGTCTGAAATGGCAGCTGCACTTCTGCGTGACTTGAAAAAACGGAACATCATAATATACAAATGAATCTATGTCTGACAGAAGGCATAACCCCAAAGTCATTGTGATTATTTAGAATAGTTGTGGTTCTACGTTGATTTCGGAACGGAACTCTTTACCGTGATGCATCATGCATGCAAAGGGTTTGAGCTCAGCAAGCGAAAGAGATGAAACAGAAAACACAACTGATCAGTAAAAGCCAGTTTGATACTACAGTCACAGTCACTTCATTTGTTTTACTTTATCTATTTAGTGCATTTTGATGATAGTTTGGGACTCCATTGCAGAAGGAAATTGTATTCCATCATATTTATCAAACCATAGATGTAAAAAAGGGTCTCAAAATACATCTACACCCTTTCTCTCTTTCACACACACACTCAAACATACACACACATGCTCAGTATTTGTTTAAAACGTATCCAGCTATTGTCGATGTATAAATATTGTCTAGTATATTGTGTATTAGAGACACAATCGATGAATTACATATAACAAGTTATAACCAAACCTTTGTTTCGTCACATGCCAGTCCAATATCTGAAACTACAGGAAATGCTGTGCTGATTACAATCTGTGCCCCTCATCTCTGTCCACTAGGTGTCCCTACAACCATGGGAGATAATGCTGAAGCCAAAGCACTGCCACGGACCACCAGGAAGCGCCCCCACAGGCAGAAAGATGTTTAACAGCGGTCACATTCCTGCAGCCAATGACTGTGTGCTCATAATATCTCCAAAAAATAAAATCTCCAAAACACGAAAGGAAAACCTCGCAGTCGTTCGCACAAAGCTCCGGTCATGTGATCGTCTCCAGTGAAGCACCAGCGATAATGTTGTCCCAAGTGATGCTGGGTGTCGTCCTGTCCCTCCTCATCCTTCTGACCGTCAGTGGGAATGTGCTGGTGTGCATGGCCGTCTGCGCCTCCCGACGCCTCCGCTGCCTCACCAACTGCTTCATCGTGTCGCTGGCCGTGACCGACCTGCTGCTCGGCCTCCTGGTCCTCCCCTTCTCCGCCCTGCTGCAGCTCAACAGCGAGTGGCCGCTCGGCCCGGCCTTCTGCAACTTCTACATCTCCATGGACGTCATGCTGTGCACCGCCTCCATCCTCACGCTGCTGGCCATCAGCGTGGACCGCTACCTGGCGGTGACCAGGCCCCTGAGATACGCCTCAGTGGTGTTGCCGTGGAGAGTTGCCGTGGCCATGGCCAGCGTTTGGACGGTGTCCGTGGCCGTGTCCTTCTTGCCCATCCAAATGGGGTGGAACACCGTGAACGGCACGGTGCAGAACCACGGGCCCTGGGCGCCAGAGAGGAAATGCCGCTTCGAGCTGAACAGGCCCTACGTACTGACGGACGCCCTTCTCACCTTCTACCTGCCCCTGGTGGCGATGTGCTGGACGTACCTGCGAATACTGCGCATCGCGCGGGCGCAGGCCAAACGCATTATCGGTGCGCGACCCACTTGCATCACGAGCTACAACTGCAGGGACAACCCTTCCACCAGCACCACCGTGGTCTCCAGCGTAACAGCAGTGGCTCTGCGGGAGCACAAAGCCACGGTGACGCTGGCAGCCGTGATCGGGGCTTTCGTGGTGTGTTGGCTGCCGTACTTCATTCTGTTCACGGTGCTGGGCCTGAAGGAGCATCCGGACCCGAGCACAGTACCAGAATACCCCATTGTTTTGTGGCTGGGTTACACGAACTCGGCCCTCAACCCTATTCTCTACGGAGCGCTCAACCGGGACTTCAGGTCAGCCTACACCCATTTACTGAAATGTCGATGCCCGACTTACGGCGGGTGGATGAGCTGGCAGCCGCCTCACACGGCAGCAGCAGGTAAAGCCCACAATCAGGTTGTTTTCACAGTACACGTTAATTTATGAGCAACAAAATAATGCAACCGGGGTTAACACACATCACATGTTCTAATTCCAGTTGCTCCAGTTTTTTTAGTCGTCTTTTCCTTCTTCTCCCCTCGCAGCCAGAGACCAGTTTACAGAGGTGACACTGCTGTGTAGCCACGCCCCCGCCACGTGCCGGGCGGGCCAAACGGAACAAAACGTCGCGCTTCAAGAAATGAACAGCAGGGCGGCCGCAGCGACTATCCACTTTGCAAACGGCACTGCAGTGACAGACGTCAACGGCAATGAGAGGTCAATCACTACTCAGCATGTACATTACATACAGAACCCAACAGACCACATCTGGATCCTTCACACAAACACGTATTTCTTCTCTAAACTCGCTTTCCTCTCAATGAGGGCAGGTCGTGCTGAGCCCGCGCTGCTGAGGGGGCCCCTGTGTACTGCGGTGGCAACCGAGAAGAAGAACCCCCCACCCTGAGAGGAAGAGCTAGACGCGGGAGGACACACAGAGATTTAAAAGCCCTCTATTTGGAGGCCTTTGGTGCTGGGGTCAAGGCATCCGTAACCCAACATGTAAGCAGATACACACACACAGAGGTACCCCCCCCCCCCCCCCCCTACAGATGATGTCGGGCCCAGAACAAATGGACTGTGACACTCAGGTCCTCGTCGTGTCATTGGCGCTGCCCTCAGCTCAGAGGAGATACATTATCCAGTTTCACATGCTGCTCTCATTTCTTTGTTCGCACTTTGTGAACTGTTTCGACTGAGTGGTTTTCTCTTTGTATGTGCGGGGCTATATATATATATATATATATATATATATATATGGGCTTTGGTAAGTGTGTATTAGTTGAAGTAGCAAAAAACAAAACATAATCTTGGTGATTGATTTTAAAGACTGCGAGGTAATTCAAAGTAGCTAACTTTACACATTATAAACTAAAAGTGCAACAACAAAAGTCAGCAAAAAAGTACAGCAATGTCATTTTTGGCATATTTCAGAAGGCCAGTACAGCCAAACAAAAAACTACCTAATGATGCCTCATAATTTCTTTAAGAGTAGAAATCCTCACAGCACTCATGTAAAAAAAAAAAACTGTCTTTATTTGGAGTCAGATTTCATCTACAGAGAATCTGGGTCATTGTGGATGTATTGTATACAAAATAATTTTTATTTATTATTATTATTACAATTTTTTCTTTTTCTGAAAATGTTGTTTTAGGTTTTCACTTTCCAAACCTCTTACTAACTGTTCAAATTGCAGTTGTATATTGTATTTATTTTTGCTTCTTCAAAAAAAGCTATAATTACAGTAGTTTCTGAGGGCTAAAATGTGCACAGAACTTTGAACACCCATCAGACCTGCTAAAACATTCATGTGCAGCTCCGTACCGTAAGTGATTGTCGATGCAGCAAATTGACTAATCTCCATACTAAGATTTGGAGCGAATCCAGGCCCACAGTGGTAAAATGAAAGATCCTTTCCTCCCTGCATGCTCTACACCCAAAGTGATTGAATCCTTTTTTGATTGCATTGTCTCTTCTGCCTGTTAGCAACCGCTCCATCCTTAATAAAAAAAAAATAAATAAATAAAAGATTGGGAGAGAAAATGGGAGATCAGCAAGAACCAACCGTACGCACACAGCCGGCCTCTGCCAACGGAGAACCGAACAAATGACGCTGCTCCTGCGTGGATGGAGCTCCGGCGGTCATCACGCATGTGATCGAGAGCTAACAGCGATAGCGTTGAAGCACTGGGGGACAGAACGAGACCAGCCGATTAACACACGGGTTATCAATTTCATGATGTGCATTATTTAAGCCGACTCAAGAGTGCACTCCAGTGGAAACACGACAAATCACAACTTTGACCTGGACAAACCGGAAATGGTTGTTTCACCACCAGAGATTGGAAAAGAAAATGTGATTATTGGACTGTTGTTAAAGTTACTCCGTGTAGAAACCACTTGTCTTTTGAAGAATGCAGATTATGTCTTTTTGATGCTTATTCAGTGCCACAAAGGTGGCAAATGTATGTCTTGTATCATATTGTATAAGTAACTGAGGACTTAAAGAAATGGCATGTTCTGTTCCTGTAAGATACATAATTAAAAGCCTACTGTACAAATAAAGAGGGGCTTCAATAAAGAATATAACGTCTACTTCCATTTTTAGAGGGCAACACAAATTAGCTGTAGTTTTATCATGTGGGATGATGCAGAAAAAAAAAATCTACGAGTGGTAACACGAGTACATTGGAAACAATTCATCACAGCTGTCAGCACACATTGCCTCAGACTACTACCACATTAACACTTAACCTTCTCCATACTTCAAGCTATTTCCTCTAGGACCGACACAGAAGTGGACATAATGGTCAAATACCAGCTGGAAACGAGGGATTCGAGTTTAAACTAACTGTGAATGCTTTGCAAAAAGGAGGTCATACTTAATATTAATGATGATAATAGTAATAATATTATATATAATTAGGAGTGACAAAAACACAGCCCTCCATCAGTCCGAGACAATTATGTGCACTTTAACGGTTTGATTCATTTGAAAAAGATCTAATGGGATCTCTCACAAGGAATCCACAGAGGAGTTACTCCCCCAGTACAGTTATGGTCAAGAATCCAAGATAAATGAAACATACATCATTTGAGTGGGAGATTGCAGCAGCAAGCAGTGTTGGTATTAGGAATCAGGAGGGAAAGAGTCACAACGTGCCATTTTTTTAACGGACACTTGTGGGCCACGTGAGATGTGGTTGTAGTTCTCCAAATTGGTGCGATCTCCAGCTGGCTCACCTTTGCTCAACTTTGACTGAGATCAGCCACTAGAAACACTAAAGCACCCGGAGGTTTGAAACGGGACGTTTGAACTCTACACACATTATACATGTGTCGCAATCGCAGGTCGGAAGTCGGTATTCCTGACTTGACAAACAGAGAATGTAATCTCCCGCTCTGCGTGTTGTTGCCCAAGTGTTCCCTTGCTCTGTGTGCACAGCCGCCAGTTGGACGTCACGGAACAGGACGGCATGTGATCAACTCTCAAAAAGGGTTTAGCTTTGTTAATAGTGGCGAGGAAAATAGAGAAACGGGGCGACCTGGGTGTACCTCCCCAGGACGAATCAAAACACAGACAAGGATTTCACACTGAAGACAGTTAAGCCCCTTGTTAGGCTCTGCTGGGTGTCAAAGTTCCAATGCCTTTATTGTGGTCGTCCACCATCACTTAGAAGGTATAGCCGCACTAGAAGGGAATACTTCTTGAGGATAAAGATTACAGTGACCAAACTCTGTCCAGCTCCGGTGCGTTGAGTATTTCTAATAAGAAACAATGTATCGTGCCTTTTAAAAAGGGTCACGGGGAGAAGAAAATGACAAACAGATGCTGCAGTAGATTCATTCAGGGGAAAACCACAGCAGTTAATAACTCAGAGGGTCCGTCCGTATCTGTGCTCTGTCCTCTCTCACTTAAATACATTTATTGGCTTTCACGTCCTTTAAGTCCCACTTTTTTTCTGCACAAACGTGTCCTTTGGTGATTCTGGTTACTTGCCACCCATTTCCATCTTTTGACCATTGACAGCTCAAACTACATGAGAACCATTCATCATTGCTTCTTTAACATCAGATTAATGTGGTGGAAAACAAAACATATGGACTCTCGCTCTCCTTCTGTCACTCTGATGTGCACACACACACACACACACACACACAGTACCCGCATCCGGCTAGCCCTGTATAAGCGATCAATCATAGATATTGTCATTATTCAACTGTGTCATCGACAAGCCCCTCTCCTTCCTTTCTCTACAGTCTCTGACTTTGTCTCTCTCTCTCTCCCTTTTTCACTCCCTCTATTCTCTCTCTCTCTCTCTCTCTCAGACACAGACAGAAGAGAGGGAAACATGAATCATAAATCTTGTGAATGCCATCTAAAGACTTCTCAGCGCTATGAGAAAGAGAGATGATTGATAGACGTGAGTGACTGCGGCGGAAGCAAAGATGGTGGCCAGAAGGTCAAAAACCGGCAACACTTGGGTCTGAAACCACAGTTCAAGGGTCAAACGTGTTGGAGGGGGCACAATATGGGCAAGAAGGAAGGAGAAAATTGGGGATTGGGCAGGAGGGGGAGAGAGTGTAAATGGGAAGGGAGGAGGAGGAGGAGGAGGGTGTGTGTGTGTGGGGGGGGGGGGGGGGGTGGATGCTGCCACAGTGAGGCTAAAGCCATAACTCATCTTTTATTAAAAATAATGAAAAAACTTAATGAGTTAATAATATCATGGAGATGGAGATACGGAGTGAGACAGAGATGGAGGAAGGGACAGGAGGATGGAGGAAAGGAAGAAAAAAAGAGGAAGGAAATAAGGAAAGAGACTTGGCAAAGACAAAAAGAAAACAGGTCAACGCGTGTCTCTTCTTGCCCGTCGGTCATTTATTCCCGTTTACAAAGTTCAGTACGGCAGCAGGGACAAGCCTGCAGGGACGATCACAGCAATCTACGTCTTTCCGCCGACCTGAATCCCAAAGCCTGCATGGTAATTAAAGGCACTTAACAACCAATTAACAGTGATGAGCTAAATTAGCAGGATATTGTCTCCTCTGACTGGGCTACAGCATTACCAGTGTACTGAAACAGCGATGAACAAACCTCAGTGGCCCGTGTTTGCATGTAGGCAAATGACGGATTAATTACTATTAAAACATCAGCACCTTAATGAGCTCGGAAACAATTAGAGAGGTCGTTAGCATGTGGAAGAGCGGCTGAGAGCAGAAGAAGAGTGGGGGGGGGAGAGGGGGGAGGGGGGGTGGAAAGTGAGCACAAAACAAGAGAGAAATCTTCATTGGGAAGCAATACTGATTAAATGGACGTACATTCGCACTCATCGCCCAATATCGGCGGACCTATTAAATACATGACATCACCATTTGTCTTTTCATCGAGCTACTTTTCTCCAGCTATTATCTTCCCCCCTTTTTTCCAAGTGCGGCTTCCCAAACTCCCTGCCTTCGCTTCGCCTCTCATAAAAAGCCTTTTTCTTGCTCTTGCACTCCTACTTTCTGCCTTTTCACTCCCATTTCTTCCTTCCTCCCTTCATGCTTGGGGGGCACAGTCCTGTGAAGGAATTTAATATGCAACTTTTATATGAGAAACCAATCGCATACGTCTGGGTCTATTGGGCTCGCAATCTATCGGCCCGGACGGCTAATGCAATAGAGAGAGCCGGGGCTATTTATCACACGGGGAGCTATCTTTTCCCCTCTCTCCCTCTCTCTCTCTCTCTCTCTCTCCCACTCTGCCCTCGCTCGCTCTGTCTTTATTCAAGCCCAGATTCCTGGCTGCCACTAAATCAGGCCAACTATGAGCTATGGCTGCCCAGAGGGCATCTCTGCTTTTATAGAGGGATTTGGATTTTGTATCTACTGGTTCCTCAGTGGTCGTTGAGACTG